CACTTTGGAATCTTGTGAAATAAACAACACATGGCATTTGTGGTGTACGAGGGGGGAGCGACAGGGGGAGCGGTCACTAGAGGCATGTACTGACACCATAGCCAACTTCAGCTGGACTTCAGAGAGTTTGTTTTTCACTGCAACTTTAATGTTACTCATATGCTGCAGGGAGGAGATATGACCATCAGAAGCTTACCCAAACATTCATTTTTTCCTTGCATTTACTAATGAAAGACAATAAACTAGCAAGTTCTTATAACACTGACAGCCAATGCACAATAAGAAGCCAATCCTAAGGGCCTGCCAGATATTTAGGAATGCCAAGAACAATGATTAAGTCATGGTGCACTTTCACTCTTGTCTTCTTTGATACCATCTGTGGTCATAGCAGGCAGCTTTCTGTACTTAAGCTTTTCATTTTATCTTTCTGAATGGTATTGCTCATTTAGATTTTGATAAGAAAAGCAGTATAGTTGGGAGCAAAGACTTACATAACCAAATAACTGTTCTCTTGTTTGCAGAAACATACTCTTCATGAGAAAACCATAAAGTTCATGAGACATATCTGTTCGAATAAGTGCTTGGGTCCTAAGGGTGATAACATGACTGATCACAAGGGATTGTCACCCCTCTTATATCCTATGATGTTTGGTTGGTACAGGTTAGTATATATATTTTTTTTTCTCTCTCTCCCTCGCTCTCTTTTTCCTTTTCTTTTTCTTTCTTTCTTTTTCTTTTTCTTTTAGTAATGTGTAGCTGATGGATTTGTGTCACTTTCATGAATGAACATTTTTGAAAATGCTATTATAAATATTGTAAAAGTATATATATTTATATTTATACATATGTATAATGTATGAATGATTTTTTTCTTCTTGTTGGTTTTCTTTTTCTTCTTCCAACTCTAGTAAAGTGATAATGCTTATCTATATTCTCCAAAACAGACATATTGTGAAGCAGCGTCGAAGAACAATGGGACGGAATGAAGTTTATTATGTAGCTCCTTGCGGTAGACGACTGCGCAGTGTAGAAGAAGTCTTCCGCTATCTCCTTGATACTGAATCCAACCTTGAGATTGACTGTTTCTCCTTTGAATTGGCAGTGGATACCTCTCATGAATGGGAACCATTCAAAAAGATTGTCAACATTGATGTAAGTATTCTTTGAGGTTAGAATGTATGGCAACAATATTCATGAGTATTTCAATGATTTTTTAAGTTTCTTCTTCTTCTTCTTTCTTTTTTCTTGCCCATTTGTGATACATTTGTTTTTTAAGGTATATTTTGAGTTGTTGTTATTGTTATTGTTATTATTATTACTCTTATTATTGTTATTATTATTATTATTATTTTGTACTGGTGATATTTTGTTGCTATGATTTATTATGCTTTGGAGATGATTTTATGGATGTTATTATTATTTGTTGTAAGACATATTTTCATTATAATTCTTTGCAGAAGATTATTATTTGCATTATTATTGTTTCATTAGTATCATGATTATTATAGTTTTTTTTCTTCTCTTTTCTTTTCTTTATTAATGCTTATTATCTATTGAAGAATTTGTTAATATCAATCTTTCTTCTTCTTCTTCTTCCACTTCTTCGTCTTCTACTGTTAAAACCTGTCAGTGCCCTCTGCCATGAGACGACAGAATATTGGCTTGGAAAGGTCCCTGGCCTTCGGAATTCTTTTGAAATGCTGGACTGGCAACTCCCTCCAGATCTACTGTGAATTCTGAAATCCCATTTCTTTTTCTTCTTCTTCTTCTTCTTCTTCTTGTGAGGAACTTATATTGGAAGAGTTAATGTTATTCAAAATTACTTACCAAAAATGTTTCCGTTATTGTTATTGTTAATTTCTCTACAGTCAGTTAATTTTACTGCATCTTCATATTCTTCTATCCCTCAGGACTATGATTTCTTCTTCTTCAGCTTCTTTTCTCCCTTTTTGGGGAATTTCCATTAAACATAAAAGGCTTTGATCATTTCTTTTCACTTTTTTAGGTTTTATGGGCATTTTAAACTCTGTTTAATATTTGGCAGTTTATTTTTGTTATCACTTCTAGTATGGATGATGATATTTGTCACTGTCATGATTTTTATTATGATAACAAGATGACTTCTAATGGTTCATCTATATCTAATTCTCAGGATGTGTCCCTTGGAGAAGAAAATGTACAGATCTCGTGCGTCAATTCCTTGGACGAAACCGCCCCTCAGACTCTAGTATACAGCAATGTTCGCCTTCCAACAGAACATGTTCCACTCAACCTAGATCCAGAATTCTTAGTCTGTTGCGACTGTATAGATGATTGCCAGGTAAGAATTTGAGATTATTGGTTTCAACACCCATGATTTTTTTTTGTGTTCCTGCTTCTCTTTTATGTTTTTCTTTATGCCAGTGTATTTTATTATTTTTGTTACTGACCTAGTGGCTCCCGTCCTAGGCTAAAATGTCGAAAGGCCTTCAGAGGTTACACTTGAATGTGATATGCCATGCCAAATGTAGGCAATTGGCACAAGTGCTTTCTTGACATATCTGCATTAATTAAAGTTCTGGCTTATGGCTGTGTGAAATACTGAAGCCTGAGTACTTTTTTCCAAAATCCCTACAAAAGTATCCAATAGTATTCTTAAGTCTATATTCTAGAAGCATGCTAAGCAATATAATTGGATTGAGGTAATAGAAGCATGATGTAATTATTACCAGTGAGATGGCTGTTTTCAGGATAGCACAACGTACATGAAGTAAAGTATTACTGCTGATGATAGGGAAAAAAATCATCATTGGTTATGTGTGGTAAAATTTTCACTTTAAAGTCATGGAACAGCTTTCACTACTATTTAGTATGTATGATTTTTAGAGAGTGGGAGAACATTGATGAAATCCGAATTGGATTTTTTTTACATTTACATTATTGAGGGTTATTTTTTGCATTATTTTGTTTGTCATTTTATTATAAACAATGAATAAGATAAATCACTTTCTTTCAGGACAAATCAAAATGCCCTTGTTGGCAGTTGACAATCCAAGGAACCCGCATTTTGGATCGCTCCGAGAACCCCAATACAGGTTATCATTACCGCAGATTGTCTGAACAAGTACAAAGCGGTATTTATGAGTGCAATTCTAGGTATGTTTTTTATGAGTATTTTGTACTATCTCTTGCAATTTTAGGAATGATATAAGTATTCTGTAAATAGGTAATTCACAGTCAGACTTGTTGTCAGTTTTGCTAAAGCATATTCTGCAACTGTATTGTTTGTTTATACTGTTTTCCTATCTTCAGTCATTTTCAATATAAGTAACCTTACAGATGTAAGTGCAGCAACATGTGCTTAAATCGTGTTGTGCAACACCCACTGAGACTAAAGTTGCAGCTCTTCAAAACTGCACGTCGAGGCTGGGGCGTTCGAACTTTGCACGACATTCCTAGAGGAGGCTTCATCTGTGTTTATGTGGGCAAGATGCTGAATGAGACTATTGCTAATGAGGTTTGGATTTTCCTTATTTTATGGTTTCCAGTTAAGAACTATCAGAATTTAGAGAATAATGTATGAACATATTCATTGCAACAAACGTAAAAAATATGAATTAGAATGAACAGTATCAATTATATCATCATCAGAAATAAATGTATTGTATTTCTGATGAAGATATAATCAAAACCAGTAAAATGTATCTATTGCACTCTGTAGATATTCTTTCTCAATCATAACTTTTCTACAGAATTATGAATTTTGATATTCTAAGACATTAAAGACAGATGGAAAAAGTTCATGTTCATATGCATTTCATTTGATTACCTTAATTTATTGTCGTCATGAGAAGCTCCAATTCAAAACTTTTTTCTTACCTAATAGGAAGGCAAGATGATAGTGGGTGGAGATGACTACTATGCTGAGCTGGATTACATTGAAGTCATGGAAAATGCAAAAGAAGGATATGAGGAAGAAGTTGAGAATATTGAGGAAGAAAATAGCAAGCTCTCCGTAGAAGGAAGTGCAATTGGTATTAAACCTTTTAATGTCTATAGTTTTTTTTAGGGTTTCTCATCAGCTGAAGTAAAATAATGTCTTCATGTGAATACATTAATACCAACTAGATATTTGTGATTACTGAAATTTTGTGCTATGTACATCTGCTTTTTCTTGCGTATTGCTCAGTAAATTATGTTTGTGTTAAATTTTTCCTGTTTTACCACAACCTAACAATTTGCTTTATTGTCATTGTTATCATTGCCATTATAATGTTCTCTTTTTTTATAAACAGAGAAGCTTATCAATAAATATCCAGATAATGCAGCCTTGCCTACGTCCTAGAAAGATATTAATTTTCTATGCGTGTGCATGAGAGAGAGAGAGAGAGTGTGTGTGTGTGTGTGTGTGTGTGTGTGTGTGTGTGTGTGTGTGTGTGTGTGTGTGTGTGTGTGTGTGTGTGTGTGTGTGTGTGTTGTGTGTGTGTGGTGTGTGTGTGTGTGTGTGTGTCGTGTGTGTGTGTGTGTGCATGCATGTGCATACATACATGGTTGCATGAATGTGAGTAAGTGAAGATATGCAGAAACAAAAGGAAAAGAAACAAGAACATAGCTAATATGTATCTTCATTCCCTGATCAGCCGGGTCAGATTCCACAGACAGTGATGGTTTCTATAGTGAAAATGAAGTAGATGACACGAAGGATGATCGGGACTTCAGCCATCCAACATATATGAAAAAGGTGGGACTAACCAAGAGAGAAAAGTCTGCCCGCCTTCAGGAACGCTCATCGCGCAATAACTTCTTAAAGAAAGGAAAAGGTATGTGTTGTGTAGGATGAGGTTAAGAATCTATGTAAAATGATACTGGTAATTAAAATCTTATTGCAGGTAGTTTGTAAAACATGTAGGCTAAATTAATAGTGTATGGTAAGTATACCTATCCTGTTTTACATTTTATACATTTCATTTTACATCTACTTTCTTCCTCCTCTTCTTCTGTTGCTTTTTTTTTTCTTTCTTTCTTTCTTTCTTTTTTTTTTTTTTTTTTTTTTTTTTTTGCATTTTGTCTCCAAAATGCAAATTCAGTTATTTATCAGCACATTATTAGCTTTCCTTAAATCTACCTCCTCAACATTAATTTTAGCTGCATGCACCCTGATGTGAGCCCTTTCAGTCCATAAACAAACAGATACCAGCTACACAATAAACTCATAGGCATCAACCCCTTGAATCCAGTTGCCCTGTGGTAATCGCATGGACAAAGGATGGGCATTGGGCTTACGTAAGCCACTGCTCTGCTAGCATGTAGGCCAAGCACATGCTAACACTTGTGTGCGGTGACCCTTTGCAGTGTTATTTTGCCTTAAACAATCATCGGAAATCATCCTAAAAAAATGGAGAACAAAATATGAGGTGCATTAAAACATGGATCACACACTCACAGTGTACTGCTACAGTGCATTAAATCATGTTTATATTCCTACCTCTTTACAAACAACACTCAGTAAACACAATCAGTAAACACATTTTACACGACCTGAACTAACCAATAAGCATTAATGTTATACTGTATGCATTGTATTTTGATCTATAGAACATTTATATCATGGTAAAGTTTGTCAGAATATATGTGTCAGTGTGTGTATGTGTCTTCACAAAGACACAAAAGAGCTATGATTATTGTTATTCTTTTTATTATTGTAGAAAGTAAAGATGGAAGTGGATCAGGATCTGCACCTGCATCAGATGATGAAGCATCCAAGTCATCACAGCCTGAAAAGACAAAGGAAACAGAACCAAAGGATGATTCAAAATCAGAAGAAGCAGCTGATGATTTTGATGATGAAGATGAAGCAGGTAATTTTGATATGATGCATTGATGGTAAAGGGAACTACGATTTTTTTCTCTTTGTTTAATCTCCCTTCACTATTTCATTTTCCTTTTTTTACAGTTGATAGGTGATGTGTTATTTCCATGTATTTATAACATGTGGATAGCTTAACCCAATGACTACAGATAGATGTGCTGTCCCCTATAGTTTTTGTGATTTTTTTCTTCATGCATGCATTCAGTCACGAAGAACCCCTTACTGAAAACACCTGATTTCTCATTCCTTCAGTTGGAAGGAAATGTGTTTTTCCTTCTAATACTAATAGTATTGATACTGTTGATATTCTTATTGATATTACAATTATTAAATTGTTATTAAGATATTAATAATATTAAAAACAATAAAATGATATAAAATCAAGATAACCTAACATAACATAACAGGTGAGATAGGTAGGACTAATAAGTGACTCCTTGGTGACTAAAGACGATAAGTAGAGTTATATTACTGTAGGCATGGCGTGTATTTTTGCCAAATGGGATGATTAGGTTGAATTATTTTTACCCTAAAATTCTTAGATGAGAAGCAACGCCGTCCACAAACATTTGCTCCAAGTCAACTGCTGGCTACGCCTCCTAAGCAGAGGGCAAACAAGAGTGTGAGAGAGTATTTTGGAAAAGACGAAGCAGTATACATCATGGATGCCAAACACACAGGCAATATAGGCCGTTTCTTGAATGTGAGTATATTGCATTGTAATTTTAGATGTATTGCCATATATATAAAACACTTGTTTTTTTTTTGTTTTTTTTTGTAGCAAGAACTAATATCCCTTCATTATTTTTTATACATACAAATAGGCATGTTAACATACACAAATCAAACTTCCACAAAGTTCACCATTTTAATCAGAAGTACAGCAGAGCACTTGCATTAAGACGATTCATATTCCCTTCCAGCACTCGTGTGAACCAAACGTCTTTGTCCAGAATGTCTTTGTTGACACTCATGACCTAAGGTTCCCATGGGTGGCATTCTTCGCCATCAGCAACATCCGCGCAGGCACTGAACTCACGTGGGACTACAGCTATGAAGTGGGCAGTGTACCGGGCAAGACTAAGTACTGCTACTGTGGTGCCAGAAAATGCCGAGGGAGGTTGTTGTAGATTGTATTTTACCGTCTATTTATTTTTATAATCTAAATAATTTTTTTCACTTTTTATTCCATGTGATGTTATAAACTTATTCACCGGTTCTATTGATGTAGTGGAATAACTGATGTGGTAGTTCAGTAATGCTTTTCATGCCTATACATTTACTTCTCGTGTCTTTTTTTTTATGCTCTCGGTTTGCGCTGCTGGGCTTGTGTAGTCTTTATGTGTAAGCTATATAGCCTACAAGCTGACTGACTAAATAAACATTATCGGATTCTTTGTTTATTTAATTTTGGATTCCAGTTTTTTTTAAGTGTGGACAACATGCTTACATCTCTACAAGAGAGTGAGAGGAAAGAAAAATATTGTGAGAGTTGGAACAGGAACTCAACAAATTTCATGCAGGTTGTTAAGAAGCTATGATTTGGCATATTATTGCAAACTGTGTATGAACATTTCTTTGTGTTTCATTCAAAAGTTTTTATGATAATTAAAGATGAATATAAAATAATAAAATAAAACTAATGAAATCCACTTTTGAATTATTGACCCAATGATAGGTTATTGATGTGGCACTATTATCTACACATGTTACATTTATGAAATGGGGTGCAACATCCCACAGACTTTGTACACATGATGAAAAACAGTTGGTTTGATATTATCCAAGAATCTGTTCAAAAACAAATACAACTGAGTATTATTTTTTTTTTAAATACACTGCCATATAATTTTTGAAGCAAAAAATATATTTGTATGATTCCTTTCATCGAACAAGAATCAAGTTGAATTCCATCAATTCAAGAATAATTCCAGATCAAAGTAGAGTGTTACTATGTATTTAAAACAATATATTTAAGTATCATTTTAACAGATGACTAGATATGAGCCACAAGTTACAAGGAGTGAATCTTTATTTTCTTGTTGATATACAGTGGGAATTTTGTTATTATTACCAACCCACTACTTCAAATTACTTTGCAAATAAACAGTATTATTACCTTTGTTTCACCGACTTTGATTTGCAGTTAGCTTAGCTTGTATATTTGCCTACTTTGTCAAACCATGATCTATGGTTATTGCATTGTGCAAGGATGACTCTTATGAGAGAGAAAGATAAAAATAGACCCTTTTATGGTTCCCATATCTGATCTCCAAGTCCTTGACAAGTGACCTCTTGAATATTCGTCACACTTCTAAATCTTTAGACTTATGATATTTGGAACTTTAAAATATATTTTTTGTTATGCTTTTTTGGAGTGTGTGAAGGGGGTAGCATTAATATTATTTGGTTCCATTGGAATACTTGAATAAAGGAACCAAAAAGCAAAGAATAAATATTTTGAAAAAATAAGCAAATGCACTGATATTCTCACTGTAATCCATTCTTACATTCATTTTATTATGACGTTCTTTTAGCTGAACAACGAACTTCATATAATGATCTGATGGGCTGCCACGTAGGAACTTTCCAGCATCAATCTTACTGATAAATGTACAAGCATATTGAGAACTTCAAGCTTTAAATATCTAATAAAAAAATAAAAAAAATACTACATATGAAACTGTCAAGGAAAATGTGAATAATAGCCCAGGTAAAAATAAAATTTTCAGGTGAAAACCTTTTTGAGTGGTACATTTTATTCAAAATTCACACGTGTATAAAACGAGTCAATATATTACTTATATTAATTGCTTAACACTAATGATTTCTGTAGGTTTAAATATAAATGTCATGAATATCAACAATAAATGATGTGTTACTATCAATTAAATATGCTTGGGAATTCATAAAATAATACTGGTTGATAATCCTTTATAATAATCAAAAGACACATTTTGTTCCAGCAATTGTGCATTTTTTTTCTTTTTCTTGTTTCTTTTTACATTATGGCAACAAAATATCTTGATATATCTGTAGTTGAAGTCGTTGATAAATTAAATTTTCAAATAATTTCAACAGATGTCAACTTATTCTCTAAGACAAACTCAGCACCAGCATTCAAAAAATAATCGCATTTCCCTAACCAAAAGCATTATGGAGGAAATCACTACTCTGCGTAATGGACTTCCACCAACTGCACATGTGACGAGTCGAGGCAAGGCTTTTCTCCCTCCTCTCTCTCTCTCTGTTGATATCCTTAGAAATTCCTGTCGCCAAAGTTCGAGGAAAATGATTTGTTGACGGAGGATGAAGAAGAGGAGGTGGAGAAGGACTTGGTAATGCGAGACGAGTCCATGGGGGCCATGTTTCCGAAGTTTGACATATTGGATAAGTTAGACATGTCAGAGAAATTGGACATATTGCTGAAATTCGACATTTCTGAGAATTTTGAAGAAGCGTCACTAAAGTGAGAGAAGTTAGACATATCACTAAAACCTGATCTACCAGACATGGTTGAGGCCATAGAGTCGGTGGACATTTGCGACATGAGCGAGTGCCCGCGGCCCATCAGGTTCTTTAGATCCCCGAATCCTGAGGGGAAGTTGCCGGACTCGAGGAAAAGTCCAGGACCGCCCATGGAGGAGCTGAACGACTGTTTAACGGACGATGTGGAGGAGGAACTCTTTTTCACCGACATGACGGAGCCATCGGGCATGTGTTGGATGCAAGATTCACTCACTTCGGCGGCGTCAGCGGCTTCGGAACGCTTGAACTTTCCCTCGGGGTCCTCCTCGTGGCGGGTCATTTTGGTGGAGGCCTCGCGTCGTGCTGCCTGGCTGTTCTTGTCAGTAATTTCAGCGGCTGTTTCGCGGTGTTCCATTACCCCGTCATTCTCCTGGACGACGTTGGAGGTCTGAGAAGTCATGACGCGGCGGCCGTTCTCCTCCGTGATGCTCACGCTCGTCTGGTTGCCGGATCCTGTCCCAGCCGTTGGGGCCTGCGCCATCGGCTGTGGACGGGCCTGCTGATACATGCTTTGAGATGGCTGCTGAGGCATTTGCTGAGGCATCTGCTGAGGCATCTGCTGGGGCATCTGCTGAGCCATCTGCTGGGGCTTCTGCTGGGGCATCTGCTGGGGCATCTGCTGAGCCATCTGCTGGGGCTTCTGCTGGGGCATCTGCTGGGGCATCTGCTGAGGCATCTGCTGGGGCATCTGTTGAGGCATCTGCTGTGACATATGTTGTGGCATCTGCTGAGGCATCTGCTGAGGTGGTTGCTGGAACACTGGCCGAGGAGGCTGTTGGAACATTGGCTGCTGGTACATCTGCGGCTGAGGCTGCTGGAACGTTTGTTGGGGATGGTACTGCGGCAGCTGTTGAGGAGCTTGCTGTGGTTGCTGCTGCATGCCTGGGGGTCCCTGTGTGTACATCGGTTGTGGCGTTGGCTGACTCGGACTGGTCACATTGAAGGTCACTTCGGACCGCACAGGAGCCGCCCCTCTGTTGACGTCGAACTCCATCGTGGAGGAAACACGCGAGGATTCAGAGCCGGCTTCGCTGGGGGCGGGAGACGTGCACGTGCTGGTCTTCGTGGAGCCGAAGCCAGAGTCACTGAACATGAGCTTCTCGCGCATTTCCTTTGGCAGACTATCGAAGCCGTCAAGCGAGGATCCTTCGAAGCTGGAAGACGACTGAACAACGGTCCTGGAGGAAGAACTCTTGAAGGAGGAAGTGGAGTTGTTGTCACTCTGCTGAGAAAAGGAGGATGACTGCTGAACGCTGGAGGACGAGTTGCTCGTCTTAGGTCCCTGGGTGATTGCAGCGCCTTCCTGTTGGGTCAAGATTAGCACGTTGTCATTTCCAATTTTACGGAGGTTGCAGAAGAGAAACATAACACAAGTTAAATCAAACGAGGAGAGATGAACATAAATAGTTAAGACCACAAAAATATCCAAATCATTCACAGTGACTTGCTGTTTTATTGCTTCTTGAGAATGATATCATCTTTAAAGATCCCAAAACTTAATCAGATTATCAGTGTCGTCAGTATGATATCGTTTTCTATACAAACCTTCTTTGGCGCCTTGATAGTCAAAACACCATCCTTGGAGAGAGCAGTCGTCACTTGGTCAATGTCAGCAGCCGCAGGTAGAGAGAACTCCTTGTAGAAGGACTTGCAGGATGTTGAGCTGCCGTCCTCCGATACCTACAAGGAAACGCGGCCTTAGCGAACTATACAGATATAAATAGGTAGATGTTATTACAGGGAACAGATGAATATATAATTCTATATATCTGACAACAGCTCCAGACAAGGTAAACCGTACATGGAATTGAGAGATTGCTGAATTGTAAGATATGTTTCTTTTATTACTTAGTTGTTGCAAATATTTGGCGAATGTGTCATAGAAGTAAAATAATTATCGAATTAATACGTCGATCTATCTGTTTCATGCACCGTACTATGTGCCTTGCATTTTATGTACTGTATGTGGCTCTATTTTTATCCCTTTAATAAAATCTGCACTTTTCCCCCCGAAGAATTAACCCCACTACGAAATAGAATGAGAATGAACATCTTCACAGTACAAGATATGTATTTGACCGGTTTCGAATATATCTTCGTCATGTATTTCTGACGAAGATATATTCGAAACCGGTCAAATAAATTTCTTGTATTGTGAAGATATTCATTATCATTCATACCTTTTGTACATTTGTCAACATGAATACGGTTCAGGAGCATAACCTTCACGAAAACCTCTCCCTCTCCCTCTCCCTCTCTCTCTCCCTCTCCCTCTCTCCTTCTCCTCCTTCTCCTTCTTCTCCCTCTCCTCTCCCTCTAAAAAATAATAATAATAATAAAAAAAAATAAAAATGTACAACTTTCCAGCCAAAGGATCCACGGGACTCACCTTCTGGTAGGATCCCTCAACCACAATCCTGTCGTCAACCGCTCTGACTTGGAGTTCTCGTGGGTTGAAGTCCTTTACGTCCATGACAGCCTGGAAGGGAAATTCAGTCATGTTAATTGATGTTGATTTTGATTTTGGAAACATGGGGAGTTGGTGGTGGTTGGTGTGGTGGTGGTGAGGGCGAGCAGGAGGTGGAGGTTGATGAGGGTGATGGGATGGGATGGGATGGGATGTATGTGGTGGTGTGGTGGTGGTGGTGACGATGGCGGTGGCGATGAGACGATGACGATGGTGATGATGGCGGTGGCGGTGGTGATGATGATGATGATGATGATGATGATGATGATGATGATGATGATGATGATGACGATGACGATGACGATGACGATGACGATGACGATGACGATGATGACGACGACGACGACGACGATGGTGGTGATACTGAGAATGACGATCCTGACAATGACTCTACCAATCACCATAAGACCCCACCCCCACCCCAACATCCCAAAGCCAAAAACATATACCTCCCACATCCGCACAGACAACAAACACAACAAACGCAGCCACATTACCTGAAACTTGCCATCCTTCTCGTTAATCTGAACGGCCTGAGAAGCGTACAGATCCTCGTCGATCGTGGAAGAGCGGATCTTGCTGTAGACATCCCGGCACTGTGACCTCGAGCCGGAGTCGACCTGAGGGCAGAGGGCGGTCAGCGGAAGGTCGAAGGTC